ATGCAATGGAAAATTGTGCTGTAATCATTTTTTAAAAAACCTTTTTATGTAGGAAATTAAAATGATACTTTATGATAATAACGTTATAATTTTTTTGAACTCACCAATTTCATTTGCTGAGCTGTCACAACATTGTGACCTTCATTAACATATCTTCGAAGACCAGATTTAATTGTTGCTGCAACTCTATCACAGGCTCCCTTTCCATCCTGCGCTTCACAGAAGTTATATGTTTTCACATGAGTGGTGTGATGGAACAATGTTGACATTGTTTCTGAGCTTTTATAACAGCCAGCATTGTCTGACCATAAGTTTATATCATTAATTGTAGGATATTTCCTAACCAATGATGATATCACATCAAGAATCACAGCTGTTGTGATTGAGGCATCCTGTGAAACTTGGCCTTGGAATATGTGAATATGTGGCAGGCTTTCTATAATACCATTTCTTTTTCTGAAAACCACTGAAATGTGCCATGAAACTCCTCTCTTGGCAAACCAATCCATTGAATCCTCTCGGAATTTTCTTGGCAAAAATTTCATGGCCCAATCTAGAACTATAAATATATCGGATTCTGACATTGAATGGAAAATGTCTTGTTTGGCAACATCCTGATTTTTTGCTCTTAATGTATGCATTTTCCAGTTGGTTATCCCCTTTTCAGCTTGAAGAATGCGAAACTTTAAGTCGTCGCTATCATTTCTGTTGGAAAAATCTGTCGAATCAAATGCTGATTTAACAGATACAATGATATCACATATTTGTTGACAAGATTCACATATCTCTTCATGGGAATGATCACAAACAGCTTGGAAATCTTCATTTTTATCACTGAGACCAAATGTTCTGCAGTGATCTGGAATTGTTGACATTTCAGCAACATGTACCTGAAATAAAAAAAAAATAAAAAGATATGATTTTTATAGTAGCAATATGTGCTTGTGAAACACTGATGCCCCCGTATGGCAACATATGGCGAAGGTTTCTCAAATGCAAGTCAAACTTCTAGGTCAAGAGGTCAAATGTGTTGGTATCCAAAGGAAGGTCTCCTCAATGTTAAAGTAAACAGCTAGACAGAGAGACAGAGCAAAAACTATATACCCCGGAATCTTCAATTATGGGGGCATAAAAAGTAACACAACACACATTAAGGACATACGCAATGTAGTTTGAATTTATTGTCTTTTTCTCTTGAGTTGAAGAGTTCCAATATGTGAAGGAAATGTATACTGCATTTTAATGTCTATATATGCTGTTGTACACTTCCTCTAAAATAAGTTTTGATAAACAAAACATCTGGAATATATGTTTAGTAATTTTTGTATTTTTATGCCCCCGTATCGAAGATTCGGGGGTATATAGTTTTTGCCCTGTCCGTCCATCTGTCTGTCTGTTTGTCCGCAAAAACTTTAACATTGCTCATAACTTTTGATTGGTTGAGGCTATAGCTTTCATATTTCACATGTGTGATGGGTACCATCATATTTGATTTGCATTTGAGAAAGTTTAACCTTCGCTATAAGTTGCCATACGGGGGCATCAGTGTTTCACAAACACATCTTGTTTTCTTTGAATTATACAAGAATTTTCATCAATTGATATCTTTTCAAAACCCCTGGTAATACATGCTGATTTTTTGGGTATGAACAATTGATGGCACTAAAATCTTAAATTAAGAATATCTTGAAAAATTATCAGTAGGTAAGGTACGTTGCATATGCCCTTAATATCACAAAAAAGAACTCTGAGCATTCTCTCCAAAATGATACCACATACTTGTATTATCCCTTTTTGATCCAAAAATTCAATAATCTCTTCTTGAATTAGTCTGTATATCTTAATCTTCATGTACAACTACATATCATATACCCTCTGCATGTTATGCTCACATGGTTAAAAATCTATCAAAAAGTTGGATGAGTGACACTGACAAAGTTCTTTGCATTCATAATACTGGTATATGGAAAAGTTAGTTCAGTTATCTCCCATTCGTATAACTAAATTGCACACCTTCATGTTTTGTAACATGTACCAATCTATATTTTACATGTAATGTACTTTTTTTTATGTTTGATCCAAATCAAGCAGATTTGGAGCTGCCAAGATACCCCTGGTATGTGACAGACAGATTCACTCACCTTAAAACCAACAAACACTGTTTGCAGGAGGTATAATTATCTTTTGCAGTATGTGATTGCCAAGTTATGTATACCTTGTAATCTGTTTTAAGATAACTTTTTGCTCCCAGTAGTAAGTCTGTGTATCTCTTGGCATCTTCCTGTGGTAAGTCCAGTGAGGATAATATATCTGCCAAGTCATCAAAACATCGGCCACCTTCTGCTAAAAAATAGTCCAGTCCCTCTAATGATTTTCTAATTGTTGCTGTGCAGTTATGCAGGATTTTAAACATGGTACTTGTACCTTTAAAAATAAAAATCATTTTTATAAAAAACAGGAGGCCAAAGGGCCTTGACAGTCACCTGAGTATAATGTAATGATCCATAGATTAAAAAAAAATAAGCTGATAAATGAAGCTATGTTGCCCATTAAAGCAAGAGAAATAGGATGATCCGGGATCAGCAAAATATTAATTTAGTACTCATTAAAGCAATATTAGTTGCAACTTTGATGTAGGAAATTTTTGTTGTAAAATTGTAATTAATTATTTCAATGGCAGGAAAAAAGAATGTTTTTAAACTTGTTGTTCATGTTTGCAATGGAAGAACTAATTTTAAGCTTTGATTGAAGGAAAATTACATTACTGTTGTCCTGTACAAAATTGATTCCTTATATAATACTATATATTTGATTGTACAGAATCCTTTATTCTGAAACAGTTTAATGCTTTATTATATACCCAACTGTTTGTCACTCAGTTTTACTGTTAAATTTATGCAATCACGTGACGGTGTGATCCGACGTTCCGGATCACCACACTACATGGTTTTCTGAATCCATATCACCCCTCTCTGAAATTGATGAGGTAGTACACAGATAAATGACGTTTTTATTCTCGCGCATCGAAAAGTTCCTTGACAAAATGATTTGTTTAATGGATAAAAGTTATGTAATTGATCCAAAAAGTTTCCTTTCATTATATTTTGCTAGTTGTTAAGGTGTATATAATAAATATATCATTATAACAGTAACTTGATCCGAAGAGCCGTATCACGTTCCGTTGACAGGCGTGGATCATCAGATCAAACTCCTCGTTTGATCTGATGATCCGTGCCAGTCAACTTGACGTGATACAACTCTTCGGATCAAGTTACTGTTATAATAATATATATTTATTTATGTCAAATTGATCAAAATTTATCAAAATAGCACATTTTAACAGCAAAATTAAACTCTCAAAAATGCAGCTCATATTGCTTTCATGAATCTTAAAGTTGATCTTTTTATTTGCCTCTACTTTCCCCCATTTGTCACTATCCTAATGCTGACTAAACAAAACAATAGTTTTAGAGCACTATTACTTAACACATTTCATTCCCCCTCATATTGGCCTCTCTTAGTCTTTGAAGATTATTTAATATATACAAAGATGCATATTATGAAAGTACTTTTTGTATTGAATATTATAAAAAAAATTCTTGTATAATTATGTTATTAAATTGACCTATAAGATGATAGTGATTATCTATCATAGGTGCATAGCAAAGGGGAATAACTTCTTTCAGTAGTGGTTCAAGAGAAGCTGAAAATGTCAAGTTTTGAAAAATTGGAAATATAAAATTAAAAAAAAACACACATTTTCTGAAAAAGAGGGAACTCCACTCTCAAGTCATACCTCCCTCACAACAAATAAAACTCAAATCAGGCAAAAAATGGTTGCTACGTGTCATGGTTACCATAGCAACATGTCCTAAAATTTGAAAAATGGCATTTTTCAACATCTTCAGAGTCCCACGGACTTTCAATTTTGACTATCACCCAATCTCTAACTGGATGCAAAAAGCTGGCACATAGGGTCTAATATTGACAAAAATTAACAAAATATTTACTATTTTAAATTAACAAAATCGAACATTTTCTCTTCTTGGTAACCATAGCAACAGTGTCGTATTTTTCAACAACCTTTATCAATATATGATATTCAACTTTAGGTCTACGAGATAAGTACTATTCAAGGTGATTCAAATAAAATGTTTCTTGATTAAAAGGTTAGTAAATTCCTAAAGCAGCAAAAAAATATCTTTTTAAACAACTAGTACGTTGTTTCCATGGTTACACTGCAAAGTAACGATTTATCTCAATTTTTCTTATGTTGTCGGTGTTACAAGGTCATAAGGATGCATATGTGCCAGTCATGAATTTTGTTGTTTTTCCTCACGATAGTAGCATTAACCCAATTGTAGCAACAGATTTTGCATGGTGACATTGTGTTACCATGGCAACCATGAAAGTTATTTTTAGAATAATATTGCCAATACCTAAATACATAAGATCAAATATTTTTTATTCTTTTTCTTACGTTGTTGATTGAGTTTGAATATGTAACATCTATCATTTGTAACTATAGAGCATTTTTCAGCATCTAAAATGTATTCCAAATGTACCCATGGTTACCACTTACTTAGAGATAAATTCTAAATAGTTTCTTTAGAGCATAAGTGGCAACAAGGTGTCAGGTTTTGGGGAGAATGGTTTGTTTGTTTTTCTTAGTATTTATTAAGGCTTAATAAAGATTTAAAGTAGCTAAAAATCTCAATTTTTCAACTTTTCTGGATGTTACCATGGCAACCAAGACACATAGCAACGAAATTTTATTTGATATATGTTTCTGGTGTCAAGTTGTAATAATGGGCAAAGTTTCATCAAAATCGGTGACCATGCGTGGTAAAGAAGTTTAAGTGGTTACAGAGAATCGCTATTAATCTACTCTGGTGATTTCGGCACTGAAATACCTATTTATTTTATTAAATATACCTTTTTTCTAAAATCTGTGTTTGCCTGATTTACTGTAATGCTTATATGTAGCACTTTTTATGTAGATGAGAGGTGTGCTTTTCTTGGTTTTTTTGTTGTCTCTTCATTGTCTGATCCAAGTGAGTGAGACCAAAGCAGCAGCGAGTGCCAAACACTGTCACTGCTGGTGGAGAAGATGCTATTGTCACCGAGATCTACAGGTGAAACATTGCTTTAGCTACAAAAATGCTTTTCAATCATCTAGCATAGTACAAAAGGCCTTCCAAATGCATGTTTCGTGCTTTCACTCGGAAGGACTCGGAAACTAGGCAAACCATTCATCGACATCTTTCATCTATTCAATATAAAAAAAGAATTAAAGAAAATATGAATTTAAATATTCAACAGTTTCTTTCCAGGAATAAAGATAAAATGACAGAATTTATTCTTGCCTTACTACCAAAGAGAGTTATCTTTTCAATTGGTGCTAAGATTATTGTTTGGTAAAAATTAGCTTAAGAATCTAAACTGAAAAAAGGAAAGTAAAGAAAATAAACTGACAAAAAGTTATGTTGGGCTCAGTAACTTCTCATTAACGAAGCACTCTTTCTAGATTATTTATAAACCGAGTTTTAATTTCAGCGAACATGACTCCTTAGTGTAAGAGCACTAATCTAATATCATAACAAAATTAAGTTTTAGAACAATGGTAATTCAAAATATATATAGTAAACGAAGAAAACAATTAGTATCATTAATTATGCTTTAGGAATCTTGATTTCAGTCACCATACGGAACATTTCTATCTGGTATTTAAAACACTTTCAAAATGTGGTAAATGGTGAAGTTTTATATGAAATATGTAGGGCTTTTTCTTTGAACTAGTACTAAAAGTGGATTTGTCAAAAGTTGTTTCTAAAATGATAATAGATGCATAAATATAAATTTTAAAAAAAAATCTAACCTGCATTTTAACCTGAAAATGATTTTCCTATTTTAAAGATTTTTTTTCTTCATTTTTAACTTTAATGTGAAAATATCCTTAACTTAACTAAAATTTCATTTTGATATAAAATTCTTGATAAGAGATAAAAGTTCTCAGAGGTAACACTTTCTTCCTCAAAATTTATATTCTTATGTATTTCAGAACTTTGTAAAGGATCAAGAAAAAAGAGTAAGTAAAATTGATTTTAATATAAAAATGCTATTGTTACCATTTTGGTTCCTTGAACATGAGTTTATTTGCCGTTTATCTTAGATCGTTAACAGCTCAGTACCAAATAAATTATTTTTTATTGGTATAAATATATTTCAATTAGATGGAAGAAGAAATTGAAGCAGAAGCAGATGAGTAGACCTTTCTGAGAACCGGACGGACATCTTATTTCTTATTGAGAACAAAAGGTTCCTGTATTTTTCTTTGTAAAACAATACCTGGTAGTAATTTCTGCTGTCCATTAAATAATTTTCCAGCATTCAAAGTTGCATTTCGGTTTATTTTGTTACTACGCAGCACGGTAAAGCCGAAGTGTTAAGAATTCACATGAATTTTATATCAATTAAAAAAAAAAACCATAGTTTACCCCGATCTCTATTGAAATTTATTTGGTCAATTAAATTGAAAGTCGCATGATAAATGCATCTTATGGATACTGCCTGGAGGTCATATCCCTAACAAAAATTTACTATAGTTAACTATAGTTTACTATAGTTAACTATTTTGAAAAGTTTGATACATTTATTCACTAAGAAAATTTACTCTGTAATTTTTTATGAGATTTCAAAGCTTAAAATCTCTTAAATTCAATAATAGTAATATCAAATTTGGAAATAATATGTGCATATACAAATAATATTTCACCTTAATGTAAAAAATGTGCAGGTATGAATTGAAGAACAAAAAAAAAAAAAATGTAACGATCTGAAATCCATAGTAAACATACTTTAATTTACTATAGTGAAAAAAACTTTGATACTATAGTAAACTATATTTAACTATTATAGCAAACTATTGGACTTTTTTGTTAGGGATTACAAGGGCATGCAATAGATCAAATAGAAAAGAAAACATTCACAGGATGAAATTACACCATTCAGTCGATGGACTGGTAACCGAATGCCCACTGAATGGTGACTGAAATGTCACTGAACAGATTCTTTCCCGTGACTTTTCCGTGATCTTTCAATTACCATTCAGTCGACTGAATGGCAGATGCATTTCAGTGGCCTTTCAGTTATCTTTCAGTTGTATCCTTCTATTGAGTAATCGGCTTATTTTTGACTAAAAAATAATTTCACGTGGTATTAAATTTATCTATTTTCGAAAAAAAAAAATCATTTTTAAATCTTAAGTTTCCCGTTCCATATGCAGCAAAGAGGAAAATCTGTGCATTCTTAAACCGGAATTAAACTATTATGAGGCATAGGGTATCTAGAGAAAATATAATGATACGAATATATATCTTTCAGGATATCCTGTTCTATCGATGCAATACAAGCCAACGACATCTGACAATTTGTCTGAAAATAAAAAATAAGCATTTTGTAATTTATTAAGGAGAAATATGCATGATATATGTTTCTGTCATCAAAATATCTTGACAATTGCCATGAATGAGTGCCTCAAAGAAATATTGAGCAATGTTCAATCACAAAATTCAAACCAATCACAAATCAGCAAAAAAAAAAAAAAAAAAAAAAAAACAGGATAATTGCGAATTAATTACAAGAAAAAATAGAATATTATCACATGTTTCAAAAGTGGGGATATGTCATGGACATTACAACTATTAGAATTAGAATAGAAGTATCAGGAAATTTAAGTGTTTTATTTAAGTCGCTTTTATTTCGTGTATTTCATTTATTCAAAATGTATTTTCATATATCACGCATTGCACAAATTTGCACGTGCATCACATGGGCAGATACAGGATTTGTGATTGGGGGGGTGGGGGGTGGATAACTTCGTTCAGGCAGGGGTCTGGGGGCCGCCTTAAGACCCCCAGTGGGTCCAGCTCCTGGGTTTTCGTGAATTTTAAGAGTAAAACCAGGCACAAAAATGGCGGTATTGATTAGTTATGTACACTATGATATTTCACTTTTTAAAAGAAAAAAAAAAAACACACACACACACACACATACAAAAAAAAAACAAAACATTTACAAGGTATGTGTGTCGGGTTACTTCGACCGCACACGGGGTATTTTCGATCGATGTGCAAATACATGTATAAACGAAATTATTCGCGTCATCTCTAATTCAAAAATATATATTAATTTAAATCATTCTTTTGTAAAACATAAAAGTTTGTGAAAAAATGCTGACAAAAAAGAAGTAATTTTCAAAATGTACCTAATTTGAAGACATTAAGTGCACCAGGCGCCTAGGGACTGATTTACCAATTTGTCAAGGCATGGTACAAATGTATATATATGCGCAAGCATCTAAACCACATCTAAACAGAACAGATGATTTTTTCACTGTTCTAGAACTAGTTTCTACGGAGTATTCTTGTACATAATACTTATCCTAATAATTTTTTATACGGACGGTGGTCATGATTTTTTTTCTGGTAACAAATAGCATTGCGTCATTTTCATTGGTCGAACTGAGTTACACGCTGATGCCGTATTCATGCATGGGTAACTTCGGCCGCTTTCTGTTCAGCTGATTTGTATTTTATTTGTAAAAACTAAATACTATAAATTAAAAAGGTATGAATTTAAGTTGCAAAATTAAACATGGCTGATAAATTTCACGTCAGGAATATCCACTGTGTCTTTCTATATATACAAGATAGAAATCATACTTGTTGTTTGTGATGCCTGAAAGGGCCCCGAATTCGAATTGGAAATAAAGATTCTATCTATCTATCTATACAAGATATTTTCAGAGGTGATAAACTGATAATTCCCCGCAATGGTTTAAAAATACTCGTCCGTAATTTTTCGGGCGATAAAGTTTCTTCTTGGATATAAAATAAATTTCGCATATTATAATCGACATTGATTTGTATATGGAAATGCATTTTCTCTCTGCATAAAATAGATGTGTGTACACTATGATGGAACAAATTATTTTAAGGTATTTATGAACGGTCGAAATTAAGCAGGTGGTCGAAGTTACACCATCCTTACCTATATCCTGACGTTTAATTCCATTTATATGGGAAAATTATGAGATGTGTGTAATGAAAAAAGTCTTGTATCTATGTAAGTAAATTACTACACCATTTGATAAATAAATACATCAATCAGTGGAAGGGTTTGTAACGTAGACCGTCTGATTTTAAATTCATTTATTTACCTTCGACCAGCCTTTAAATATTGCAGTATTTTTCCTTGCATCATGATAGGAAATTGACAAGTGCAGTCTACCCTTCAAACGAAATCGGGAGACGTTTTCCGGTTTGAATAATTATGAGATAATATTCATAGCCTAGGGAATGCAAGGTTTTCAGACTTGATTTTTAAGAAAACCGATACTTGGTCATTAAATAAATTACCATTTTTTTAATTGACCATTAATTATAAAACCAAAGTTTGGCATTATTAATATTAGTCATGTCATACTTTGCAAATTTTAGGGGGGGGGGGTGCGCCCCCCACGCCCCCCGCCCCTGAAATCCGCCAGTGCATCATAAATGCTTGCAAAATCTTAATCGAAGATTTTTCATTTCATTATTAACCCCTAGAAATGCACTGTGATACTATTTTAAAATTAGTGTTTTTTTTTTTTTTTTTTTTTTTTTTTTTTTTTTTTTTTTCTTCAAACTTTGTAAATAAACATGCAATAGCTAAACAAAAGTCAAATATAAGATATATTGACTGCCGTCATGAGAAAAGGGCCCTTATCTTTTGACGTCACAATGCGCAGAAAACGACGTCAAACTTGGAAGTGAGATTTTTTTTTTCGACTGCGTTTTGTGTTCACGTGTAAAGAGAAAGAAATAAAACTGGATTTTCAGGTGTAACAAAATATCAAATTGAACAAAATTTGAAGGAGACACTTTTAATTAAAAACATTTTTTTTTTACTATTTAGAACATTTATTTATTCATCATCATGTTTCTGTGTAAATATTTTACATTACATAACCCCAACGCTACATTGAACACTTTGTCAGGTATAGAGCGATTAAAAGCGATTTCTATATAGAATGCAAAACTAAAGATTTTTTTTTTTTTTTCTGAGCAAGTTGCAAATATACGAAAGCCTATTATAATCAAACTACGGTAAAAAAAATTTAAAAGGCGTTATAACGCCTTTTCAAAAGGCGTTATAACGCGGAAAAAGGCGTAATAACGCAAATAAAGGCGTAATTACGCCTTTCCAAAAGGCGTATTACGCCTTTCTAAAAGTGTTATTACGCCTTTCCAAAAGGTTTTATTACGCCTTTTGAAAAAGCGTTATTACGCCTCTTTTTTTTTTTTTTTTCAATACATGACTTACTTAGCCCACCCTGGGGGCTGATTATGATTAGATTTCTAGGAAAAAAGATTTTGAAATATGTAAAATATTTTTCAGTGTTAAACCAACTTAGTCCTTCTCTGATGCCAGACGCTTCTACCAAGGTGTATGGATTTCAGAAATTTTGTTGAAGGCTAATTGCTCATTATACCTATGCAAATACTTTCCCTGTTTTTTTACCAAGAGGAGAGAAAAATATTTTCAAATTTGACATGAATTTTTAATACGTGGCTAGCAAAGCCCAAAGCTGGTTCTGTCTATATCCTGGATTTTCAAAAGTAGAGTGATGACTTCTCTTAATATGCATGCAAAGTGCAAACAACTGTCTGCGAGATGTGCAGGAATATAGATAATACTATAATTTATAATATAATTTATAATATTAAAACTATAATCTAAATATAGCATATATAAAGATGGCTTTGGTTCAATCTTTCATATATTTACTATTTTAAAATAACGCCTTTCCATTTTTGGATACAACTCCTTTTCAAACAGGCCCGGGTAGTACGAATGTGACTGGGGGGGGGGGGGGGGCACCCCACTTTTTGGGAGAATAGTCTTGCAATAGTTTAAATATAAAAAATCATTTATTGATTGCTTGGTCCCTCAACATTTTGTTGCAGTATGGTTAAACTCGGGCAAGTCATTGCATTTAAAAAAGTTTTACCAAAAAATTAGAAAAAGTTTCCCCTCAAGTTTAGGCAGTTTATTTTTTTTGGGGGGGGGGGGTGTCTTGTTTTTTTTGTTTGCTTGACAATTTTATGGGAACCCCCCCCCCCACACACACACACACCTTAAAAGCACGGGCTTGTCAAAGACATAATAATGGCCCTTCAAAAGGCATAATAACGCCTTTTTGAAAGGCGTATTAATGCCTTTTAAAAAGGCGTAATAACGCCTTTTAAAAGGCCTAATAACGCCTTTTAAAAAGGCGTAATAACGCCTTTTCAAAAGGCGTTATAACGCCTTTTGGAAAGGCGTAATAACGCCTTTTAGAAAGGCGTTATAACACCTCTTAGAAAGGCGTAATAACGCCTTTTTGAAAGGCGTAATAACGCCTTTTGGAAAGGCGTAATAACGCCTTTTGGAAAGGCGTAATAACGCCTTTTGGAAAGGCGTAATAACGCCTTTTTTCGCGTTATAACGCCTTTTGGAAAGGCGTAATTACGCCTTTATTTGTGTTATTACGCCTTTTTTCGCGTTATAACGCCTTTCGAAAAGGCGTTATAACGCCTTTTAATTTTTTTTTTTTTTTTACCGTAGTTTGATCCTAATAGGCTTTCGTACAAATGCGTGTATTTGACTTATACATTAAGGTATTAATTAGTCTTAATACTAAACGGTAGTTTGTAACATTTATATTTTTTAAAGAGAGAGATAGAGAGAGGGCACTCAATGTACTTATACGCGTTGATTAAAAGCGCTTTTCATTTTAGAAAAAAGTACCGCGTAAAAATGTAGTGACATACTTTGATTTTATTCCATGTTTCATCACATCGATAAGCACAGTTAGACTACTAAGCGTGGCGTCGTTTTCAAAAAAGGGAGATATAAATGACAAGTAAAAATGTCTCCAAATTAAAAGGACATCAGTTCAAAGTTCAAGAGAATCAAAAAATAAAAAGAGAACTGAACTTTGCTTCGTTTTAAAATATAGGTACTGTGACATGAGGGATTGAACCGATTTCAACAATTGAAGCTGTGTGTGTCGGGAGGGGGGGGACCTTTGAACAAATAATTCTGTACTTAGAATCAACAGGAAGAGAATATTCTCATGGAAATAAAAATAGGGGGGGGGGGCAGTTTCCTTCTCTGCTTTGATTCTATTGGTTAATGGTTAAAGGAAGGTGCTGTGCGTATGTCCCTGATAAAAATGTAGGTTTTGCAATCGCACAAATAAAATATTACATGTGTATATAGCAAAAAAACTATAACTAAAATATTTCAAAAGCTTTTTTTGTATCTTTTTCTACAGTATTGTCGTATTCTAAGAAAGCTCAGATCGAAAAATAGTGAACGGTAAAATGTCATGATTCCGGAAAGCAATAAACCAATTGCACAAAAGTGTTAATGAATTCAAAAATACTAAGTATTTGCTTAAGAAAATAAATTTTGAATAATTATGAAGATGCATAAAATATATATATTTTTTAAATATTATTTTCTTTGTCTATTCTGTTTAATTTGTTCCGATGAAAGTCAGCTTGAAATGAATTTGCATATACAGTTGATGTGGATGTGGAACCCCCCCCCCCCCTCCCCCCGAACATAACTCTATGTTGAAGAAAATTACAATTAAATCGATGGTAATGTTTTTCTTGAAATATGTATGAAACAAAGGAAAAAATTGATTAGGCTGTTCAGAAATTATTTACTTCCGATAAATGACGATATGACGAAATCTTTTGATAGAAAAAAGTACTGGTAACAAGTGGTCATGGGTGTCATTCAAAATGATCTGAAAATTTTCAAAATCATCAGCCGAATTAATATCAATCGCAAACTCAAAATAGAATAAAGAAATCTGCACGTTGGGAAAGATGAAAAATAAGAGCACCAGTGATGATTTTAGCGAAAAAAAAGATATGGGTATTCATATACATGTACAATATATTTTGTACATGTAGCTGCAGATCTGTAGCTCGTTATTCTGCATGAGGAAATTGAGTGGAGGACCGGAAAGTTACGTACATTGCCACGCATTGAAAAAAAATATATGCAGAAAAAAGTACACTGTTACTTGATTTATGTCTCTGTATATTTAATCTGCCAGCTCAAAATATTACAAACCACGAATTCCTTACATGCATTATAATTTTATTGCATGATCTTCTTAGAAATATGAGGATTTATTCAGCCAAGAATAATCATATTCTCGAGGTCTTAGCCCTGGGTGGATACGAATTTTACTGCATTGCTGATTTAATGTTTTTATTTCCCTCATGATCATGATATGAATTGTTTATTTTATTGAAAAAAAAAAAAAAAACAAGGTTTTAAAAATAAACACAAAATTTCAAATTCGACACCACTTTCAAATTCACTTTTATTTTTTAAAAACATCAATTCAGTGCCTTCCATATTTTCTACCCCTCTTTTTTAGCATTCATATTGGAAAGGAGATCGCTATTTTCGTCACTGTTTGGTATATGTACCTATTCTTTTATTGTCAATTTTGCTGCTCTTCGAATGTTTCGTTTTTACAAACGTTTGAAACGTATTGTGGAAAAAATGCACGAGGTTTTCGAATTGGATGACTACGACGAACAGCGAAGCGACGAGAGGGAATTATGAGACACTGTCACGTAACTGTCTGGAACTCATCACATAATGCGTTTATAGAACAGTTAGAATAAGGTATAATAAATTCTTTCACTACTTCTTCAATTATGATGATCGTGAAATATGTAAGGAATTTAAAAAAAAAAATGACCATTAAAAAACATACGAACCTCTCGGCTTTTATTAGCTCAAACATGGCACATGGCTGCCGGCTATAATTCTATATCCGGCAGGTGAGAATTATTATCTGGCAATATGTTCGAACATATTGCCAAATCATTCCAACATAAGGGACCATTTATTACAGACACAAGCTCTGTATTTCTTTTTTCTTTTTGAAATTAGATTAGTGGCTGTTTTAAGCGAGGTACAATTTGGTGTGTACGAGTGTAAGTAGCGTCGGAAAGGGGGGAATGTTTGAAATTAAATTCTAACAATTAAAGTTAGCAAAGGAGGGGGAAAAAGAAAAAAAAATAAGAAAAAAAATTAAAGAATCATTTATAATTTCTTTCGATAAATTGTAATTTACTTGTAAAAAAATTTTTCAGCGTAAGCAAAGAAAATGCTTTTGGAAATAGAAAAAAAAATCAATATATGATTTTCTACGCACTACGGATTAAATTTATTTGAAACAATTTTACACAACATAACGTGTGTGGATATTTGTTCAAATTAAAATTCGTTGATGATGCAGAGAATACATGAGGTTTTATTTGGGTTGGTTATCCCCTTTCTCCGGGATATCTGTGTAGTTTTTTTTTAATGTACAAGTGCCTTATATATTCTTTTAAATGAGAGCTAGAGTATCATATATTAAAAATATCTAAAGTGAAATAATTGTACAGTACATGTATTATACGTTCAAATGAATATAATCCGTTTCTAGATCATGTCTAGACACCCCCTCCTTTTTTTATATTACTGGATCTGCTTCTAGAACTCTACACTGTACACGTAAGAACAAACTTAAGGCAACTTCAGGTTAAATATTGACAATATACATGTATTTGCTTGGAAGAAGAAATAAAAATTATATTGTCTAGAGTTTGTATGTGTTATTAAGGTTATTTGAATAACGCATCTGACGTGATTAAGTCTTTAATGAATAACGTCAATGTTGATTTGAAGCGCCTTACTAAAATGAGCATAAAACCGTGAAAAAATGAGATAATTTCAAAAGTAATATATATTTGAAATCAGGAAGAGTTTGGCTATCAAAATTTACAAAAAAGTCTTTTTGTGAAATTTTGACCTTAAGGGCCCTTTTCTCCTGACGGCAGTCATATATTTTTCTTTTTTAAAACATCTGCATAACAAGTATTTTTTCTCCAATCCTTCAAGTACGATTTAAGGTACAACAGTTTGAGAGAGAAAAAAAAAACAAAAACATTTGGATCATTTCTTTGCCATACCATCTATTCCTTTCTTTCCAAGATGAGTAATCTCTTGAATATGAGATTTACTACATAATGAGATTTTGAACATTTGCTAAGCTCATGTGAGAAACGTCATTTCTTCAGGATACTGTAATTTGTATTTTTAAAAAGTTCTTACACGTATTATGTTAACTTTCACCTTCTCTACCATGGAAACTCTTCTCTTTTTTTCTTTTTTTTTTCTTTTTTTTTTTTTTTTTGTATAAATATTAAATCTGTTTAGGTTTTATTTTAATCAGTTACTTTTCTATTGCCTGGTACGTGATGTCTGACGTGTTGTCATCCCTATGTCAACTGCTTTAAACCTTTTTACTTGCGTTAGCATCATCGAATTCCAATGAAAAGTGTATGCTATTAAATTCTGGCCTACAAAACTCTCATATCTGGTAATACAATAGTTATCACATATGTTATCGTTGCAAACAACTATATGCAATCTGTTGACCTTAGCCTGTATTTTGATACCTTTTAACATAGTAGACACAAATAAATGACGTTCGCTAGAAAGCATAAACATCTGTTCCTGCAACTGAAGCATGATCTGAAAAAAACCTGCTTTAAATAAAGAAAATATGTGTATGCGCATTTTTCTTTTTCGAAAAAAAAAAAATCCCATTATAACATTTAGGAAGCGGACATAATAACACGCAAGCAAATGTTTCATTTTGGCCTCAAAATAAAACTGTTGAAGACTCTTATCCTCTTTTTTGATAAACGTGTTGTCTAAAAATATGAATTTAATCCGTAACATGTAAATAACACCGTGTTCCAAATGTTACAAGGCTACATTTCTGCTCACATGTTATAATTGTTGAACTGGAACCAAAATGTTTCGTAAAGCTTAAGAGTATATAAATGAAAAAAAAGATACTTAAAGCTATATTATCGAAAATCTACATAGAAGAGAAGGTAAGACTTTTCATAAAATACTTCCCTTTCTGTTTTGTCATGTTATTTCATATAATGTACATGTAAGTAACATTCCACATGAATTAAATACGATTGCAACGGAATTATATTTGAACAATTTGAAATTGCTCCTCTCTGATCCCCTGCTATAAACGGTTTTTACTGTGATACTTATTTGTAGTATTATTTTATGCAGATGAAAGGTGTGCTTTTCTTGGTTTTATTGCTGTCCCTTCATTGTTTAATACAAGTGGGCGAGACCAAACACTGTCACTGCTCTACGAGATGTAAATGCCACCGGGATCTCAAGGTGAGATAGTGTTGATCTTGTCACCGGGATCTCCAGGTGAAAAAAAGGTTGATTTTGTCACCAGAATCTCTGGTAATATTGTTTTTGTCTTGTCATCGAGATCTCCTAGTGAAATAGTGTTGATCATCTCTTTGGGATCTTTAGGTGAGATATTGTTGATCTTGCCAAAGAAATCTCCTGGTGAGATGGCGTTGATCTTTTAACTGGGATCTCCAGATGAAATTGTTTCTTTCGCAAGAATATCTAAAACACATGAAAATGAACACACTGTTATATTAGTCGTCGAACTAACGAAAATGATAAATCAGTTGTCTTTCACTACCTTAGAGCTATCTTACTACCTGGAGCTATAAGATCCAAGTGTTGTCAAAATACCTAATAGCATTAAGAAATTGTCGAAATATAAAAAAAACAAAAAAAAAAACATTCAATTTATTAAAAAAAATGCTAAAATTATATTTTAAAATATGTATATAGCATTATATATGCCTTTCGTTTTTGATAATATGAATTATTCTTTTTTATCTAAAACACAAAAGACAAAAGGATCTTTATACATATCATGGACAATTTGACAACAACAACAAAAAAAAAAAAAGAGAGAGAGAGAGAGAGAGAGAGAGAGAGAGAGAGAGAGAGAGAGAGAGAGAGAGATAGTACAACATAAAGGAGTTATTTCCACTGTTATCAATTTTTATACCAAATTTTCAATGTTATAATGAAATATTACCTCTTGATCTTGAAAGTAATATGATCTCTCTTGATTATTTTTTTTTTCAGAACTTTGCAAAAGAGCAAGAAAAACGAGTAAGTAAATTGAATTAACTATGAAAACGTGTTTATAAAAAAATTATATGGTAGGATTTTAATTTTTTCAGAACTCTTCAGTTCAGCATGATGTATACATATTTTGCTTTGATATAAATATTTTTCATTTAGATGGAAAAATATATTGAAGCATCGGCAGATGAGTAGTCCATCCTGAACAATGGTCGAAAATTCTTATTTCATCAACGTATACGAAATGTCCATGTGTCTTTTCTTTTAAAGAAAATCTCGAAGTATTATCTTCTTACTAATAAACAATTCTCTAGCATTATTGTCGCCTTATGTTTTTTTTTTCTTTTTTCTTTCTTTTTTCCGTTTTCCCGATCATGACAGGAGCACACGGCGTATGTGACCGGGATGCTCACTCCTTCATGGCACCTGATCCCATCTGATGTTTTTGGAGGTCCGTGTTTGCTCTGCTTCCGAATTGTATTGTCTAAATGGACATCGAGGTTGATTAATATAATGTTCCTTATCTCCATATTTCATATAAAAAGTTACTTCTAAATCATTCATCGAACATATTTGTAATGTCACTCCCTTTGATAAACATTGTTTAGGATATAGGGATAACACACAGAAAATCAAGCTCAAATGTCCCTTGAAACAATACAAATCGGGAACAAAACAAACACGGACCTCTAAAGCATTAGAGGTTAGGTCAGGCGGTCACATCCGACCTGTGCTCCTTGTCATGATCGGGCAAACGGAAAAATCCGTTGACAATTCAGTGTATGACCTAACAATTATGAAACGGTTTCGTTTGAAGTCAACTGGCAAAATGTTAACGTCAGGGACAACAGCTTTCCGGATATCCTTTTAATATTGTCTGGAGTAACAACATTAGGTTAATCTTAAAAATAGCAGCATTAGTCGTACACTCAATATATACACCTTCCATCCTTCCAAATTACATTAATTCCTTTATTTCCTTATTAAAAAATCTGAACTGTTATAAATTTTAAAAGATGATTTTTTTTTTATGTCACGTTTAAGTTTATGGTGTTTGCAGTAGCAACAATAACAAAATGGCTTATGAACATAAAGCTGCAAGATAAAAAAGGAAGCATTTTTATATGGTTTCTGACTAAATGAAAGAATATTTCCTTTAATATCATTTATATTTAGAAGTTAGGAATTTAAAAGATCGTAGTTTTTATACCTTCTCATAACTGTACAACTTTCCATATAAGCTGAGTTAAATATCTTAAAGAGACTAAAATCTTGTCGAAACAGAGGAAATTTTCTCCTTTTCTGCTTCTCAGAATTCCTTCAGAATTTTTGAATGTTTCTATCATTTTTAAAGCATCAAAATCTCAAGGGAATCCCATGCAGCATTTGAAATTAATAAATAATAGATAATAAAAAGAAGTTCTAAAAATATTAAATGAATATGACTAACCAATATGACTAATAAGCATTCTAACAAAATATAATAGGTTTTGAAAGCTTCGTAACTTTTTAACAGATTTGAGCAAGAAAAATGTTTTTCTCTCTCGTTAAAAGATCAAAACATTTTGTTCTTGTATCATTTTTTGTTTTATCGTAACTTCACCCTATGTGAAAAAAAAGAAGAAAAAATGTAGAAGGTATATAGAATAACTTATTTTCCTTGAAAAAGTATGACAAATAGAGGAAAGGGGGAGTTTCGATAAGGCGGTTTTTCGGCCCCTCAAGAAAAATAATGAAATTGTGATATGTTGTAGATAAAAGCGTTATCTTCCTTAAAATATGAAAAAAAAAAATTATACTGCACTTTTTCTGGTCACGTGATAATTAAAAATTTAAGTATACCCTCTTCCCTATATTTTTGGAGGGGTGATATTTAAAAGGGGTAATGGAGTTTATTTAACGTCAAAATCATAAATGAAATATTACGAATGTGAATAAAAACATCAAATAACCAATTTCATTATATGAATTAACAGAAAATTAATGATATTTATTTTATTTGAATGCGTTTTAAGGTGCAAGATTTTTCTCGTGTTTTAATTGTAACTCTTCTTTCAAAGAGGATGAATGTAACATATAAAACGTATATGAATAATAAAGACAGGAATTTTCAAAAAATGAATTAATCGACAGTTTATACTTAGACTGAATAACCAACATTTAACATTTTCCCGTACGTAGAAAGGCAAATGTAAAGGAATATAGACAAGAGATAGATAAACTTAAACTGTCATTGACAGGTGTTTGACACTGCTTGCAACGCATTTTTATCAACTAAAGTTATTGTGCTAAATATAGTATTAATAAAATGTACAGTAATTTCATTAAATTGAATTTAAAAAAAAAAATCTTGAAATTAACAGATTTATTTCGGAATTCGGTACGATTAAAAAATGCAGCTATTTGTATTTTTAAAGTATATTTAAAAGAATCATACTGCAATGTACATTGTATTTAATAATACCAGTCAAAATATTTTATCAAGATAGTAATTATTAGTCCCATGCCGGTGAAGCCGGAGGGGTCTATAAGTTTCCGCATAGTCTGTCCGCCTGTTTGTCCGTCCGTCTTTCTGTCTATCTGTCAGTCTGTTCCACTTAGTTTTTTGCACTTTTCTCTAAACGCTTGCAGATATTGAGCTGGTTTTGGTATTTATAGTGTATCCTGATGAGAAACAGAGTTTGAAATTCAAGTTTGAATTTCGTTAAATTCTGCCTCATTGATTTTTGACGGAATATTACAAATTCAAAAAAAAAAGGGGGGGGGGTCGGCGTTTTTTGTTTTGTTTTGTTTTGTTTTTTTTTTTAAATCGCATATATTGAGCTGATTTTTGTTTTGGTATATGTGTTAAACTTGGGTTATAGATCAAGTTTGCATTTTCTTTCGCTTCAATGATTTTTTTAAATAGGGCATTTTCAATTTTTTATGGAAACCAGGTTATACTTGGTGTGCCGATAGTGGACTATTATTGCTACATGTAATGCAGTGCTTACAGAATGTATGAATAAATAGCCAAATGATAAAAAAAAAACTAAAATACATTGAGTGCATGTCTTCTATTCATTCTTAAACTTAAAAGTATTTACGCACATAAAGAGGTGCATTATGTTTTCAGCAAAAATGAGACAATCCAGGCAAGCGAGGACCTACATGTAATTCCTCGCGCTTCCCAACTACCTTTTGATGCTTTTGTTGTTTTACTAACTCTAGTCACTATTTGATTTTTTAGACCATAGCCGCAATTTGTAAATACCAAATGTACATGTTAAATCATATCCTGCAGAAACGTACAAATCAACATCAACATCCAGTCTTAAAAGTAATCTACGCTCCGTACATATAGACCACACGGAAATATATGTGAGCCTTCTCTAACAGATTGAAGCGATGAGAATTTCTATTCAAAGGAATGGCTATAACCATATCCATGATAAAGAACGTTAATGAATGGACTAATTCTTAAACTTCTCTTTAGTTCAGTCAATCATTCGGAAAATGTAAAATCCGGCATCTGTTACAGTTCTGGTAATGTCTAACCCTAAATGCATCATCGGTGCATACTTCTTCTAGATAGGGATTATAGTTACATGAAAATGAGACATGTTCCAAAATATATACCCTGAGCATTCATCAAGAAATGTAAGTCAGATCTAGCATCTGAAGGAAGTCTGAAAGTGTGCATCCGAAGATGCATCATGAAGCACGTCTTCTCAACAAGTGCTTATGGCTGCACTGCTCCATAAACATTAACCTGCTTTAAAAACATTAACCTGGACATTCTTTAACTGAAAATGCAGCATCTAAAACCCTACAGATGACAAGAAAACACACTAAATCAGGCGACTCTGATGATATGAAAAAAAATGATTAAAAACTTTTAATAACCTATACGCCTATAACGATGGTATTACAAAAACTCCCCCAATTTCGTGTAGGTGAGCTAAATATGTGACGTTAACGTTATACGCGAGCGACGAAATAAGTAGGGAAATAACTATAGGATACGATTATGTTTTCTTATTTAATATTTTCGAGAGTTCTCTTTGGTTTAGTAAAAATATTCTACTTTTGGCTTAGTATTTTAACACGGTGTCAGAACAAGTAACCAGGAGTTTCTAATTTTAGATATGTAAATTTTAGACAATTTTCAATTTTTGGATATGAAGTGCACACGCGACACTCATCATATTTTAAGATATTAGTGTGCAGAGTATATCTAATTACTGAGCAAAACTAGGTGAGTGTCCCTCATGCACTTCATATTCTAACCATCGATTTATAAATGCCACCCTCTTATATTTTCCCATTAGCCTAATGTTAAAGCATTTGAGGGTACATCTAAGAATGTGCCAACTACGGCGTGAATTCATCTCATATAAACTCTTTAAATATAAATAACAAAAATTAACATATATTTCTTGAATTCTAAACCAATTTTGAAAAAATAAAACGAAATTTATTTTTATGAAAATAAGTGGGCCGATAAGCGGCCTTATCGAAATTCCCCCTTTGGGTAAACCTATTTCTATTTTAGCTAAATTTATTTTTATCCAATTTCTGGAGCATCATCTGATAGACTGTATATCTTATCTTTGTATGCCAAAAGAATATTTTATTTTTGGAAATAAAAGTAGGCATCATATGATTGACAACAGCAATTTTCGAGTTTTAATGTCAAGGAAAAAGAAATGACCTTGACCTAGTCTTGCTTCTAACATAAATGGATCAAATTTAATCTTAAATGTATTAATACCATCACTTCTGATTTTGAGTTATTGTTTTCTTGAAACATTGAAAATTTCATTATTCTTTTAATACAATAACTATGAGAAGGGTCCCTCCTCGTTTACCGCCAAAGGGGTATAACATTTGTATACGAAAAGGTATGCTTTTACACATTATTAAACGGAATTATTAACATGTGAGGGAATTTAATATTATATAAGCAGCAAATGAAGAATACATATAAAAAAAAAATATTCTTGTAGATGAGATTTGCATTCAAAATATTTCTCGTATTGTCCTTTCATTACCTATTCCAAGCATATAATATAATTTTATTTTTAAGATATATTGTTCGGTTGCGATCTTCAGTAAAAGAATCCGAAATGTTCCCATTTTCATTTATTTTCGTCATGCATAATTATCATATTCTTTTGAGAATTCAATATCATTAATCAGTTAATGTTCAGTATGACTTATGATCTCAAGATAAAATAGAAAAAAAAATGTATCTATAGATATGTTAGTATTGATGCATAAAAAGGTTGATTTTGATCTATGATGTACTGATTATTGGACATCATATTGATCTACATT